TTCTGGATTTTATCTGGTTTAATTTAGATTTGTAGCACTAACACAATATTTTTTGTTCTTTTTGTTACAGATTCCCAAAGAGGTAATGCTCAGTCCAATGGAACCGTTAAATCTCCACTATAATTCACAGACCATGCGCTCAATACAGACTTCATCTGCGTCGACTACGCCAACTGTAGTCACTACAGTGATATGGAGTTCAATAAGAGCCCATCCTGTTTGCTTTCCTAAGCAAGTCTACATTTTCTGCGGCCTTTATAAACTCAGTATTATATATTAAATATATTTGGGGACAAGTTTCTCAAGCAATGAAGTGCAAGCTCAAGTCTAAAGTTACTCTTTTTAACCCCTTAAGGACACGACGAAAATATTCCGTCATGATTCCCTTTTATTCCAAAAGTTGTGTCCTTAAGGGGTTAAAAAGCACTGCCGATATAGGTGCATTTTGGAGGTTACGCCATCCATTGAGTGAGAGACCCATCCACAGTAACATAAATGGGTTAAGTTGAAATTTTATATTTTTGCTGTGGGCTTTTGAGGTTGTGTTGGGTTATCCATTATTTATGCACAGCCTCTACTGATTGGTTTCCTCCATTACTTTGTTGTGGTATAAATCTGGCTCTGCATATATTGGACAACACATCATTTACTAGACAGTGAAATTTAATAACAGAAATTTAACCTATTAGATATATCATTGTGCACTCTCTGCACTCAGAACTTTTAGTATTATCAGTAAGTGAGTTTCCACTCTCTGTGTTTACATAGCTCCAGGATCACACTGATGTCCACCTTGGAAAGGATTTCTTCCAGAAGACCCAATCTGCTGCCCGCTCTGATACCTACATTAACATGCGTGAAGTGTCCAAGCGTTTGAAGTTGCCAGTTGGAGACTACTTGATTGTACCATCTACATTCGAGCCATTCAAAACTGGAGACTTTTGTCTTCGAGTCTTCTCAGAAAAAGAGGCCAAATCTTTGTAGGTATCAGGGTATGATATGCAAGTCAATAACATAACCATTTTCTCTGTCACTGCTGAGGTGGACTTCTGATCAATTATCTATATTTATTCCTCAACCTCCTGTGTATTGTACAGATCAGTATCTTACATCTCACTTGTCTCACTTATGTTGAGGGTAAAGAGGAAAATGTTGATATTGTCACCTTAAATAGAGACACTCACATAGGGTTTTATGAGACGATAAAGATTGCTCGTATTTCGTGATTAAAAATGGATGGTGCAGATTTTAAAGTGATGACTAATAACAATGACAATTAAAATGATTTAATATTTTGTAAAATATTTTAATTTTTTTTACATTAAAACTTTTGTATGTTTTTTTTATTTTTATATATCAATATTTTGAAATAAATAAATGTAAAAAAGTTTATCCAAAAATATTAAGTCAAAGCCTTTACATGTATGGTTATAGGCAGGTTCCTTTTTAAGTACATTAATTACCCTGGCTTCTCAGATAACTGATGACATGTTATGCATTACTCTATTATGTTCTTCCTTCTCTATATCTTTCCTTTTCTCAGATATGTCAAAACATACTTTTTTTTTAGTTGTAACACACAACAGTTTAAAAAGTGATGATGGTGCGTAGGATTCCAGCAATGAATATCTAATAATGTAAAATGATGTGCAGTCCCAGATAGGATCATCTTTGTGTCTCTTTTCTTCTAGGGAAGTTGGTGATGTTGCTGTAGCAAATCCCTATCAGGTAAATACATTATCTAAATATTAATGATGAACTTGGCCTCTATAAAAATGAAACATTTACACTTTGTGCAACAAATAATTGGTTTACTAATCAAAGAGAGAGGAACTATGCATCAAATAAAATAGAGATCTAAATTATTTCTCCAAAAACTTAATTATTCTAATTAATTATTCTAAATTATTCTGAACCACTAAAATCTAATGGGTATTAATCTAGAAGAACTGAATACAGGATGCGCCAAAAGTAAAATATGTATTAGAACCTAGTAATTAAAAATATCAAAGTAAAAAAACAGCTAAAAAAACCCCAATAAAACCTAACAATGTTCTTTTGGAAAATAAAAACCTTTAAAATTGATTACTAGATGTATAAAACATGCAATATTTCTGGTAATAGTGTTGCTTCTTGGCAACATATATAGGAGAAAACAGAGGAACAGGAAAAACCAATACTGAAATTTGCCAGCTCAAATGAAGTACACACAACACCTAAGTCCACAACTGGCAACTCACACGTATTAGAGCTTAAACCAGCTCTGGATTAATTAGCATACAGTGGTTTAGATCCCTACTTGTAGGATATCACTCTGATACTACAGCAGAGTAGTAGTAAGGTGCACCACTGATGACTAGGTATGGGTGGCAACTTCTGTTGTTCTACCTTCTTGTGAAATTCCACTGGTCTCCTTCTCCCATGCATTCAAAAAGAAGGAATTCTCATTTTTTTTCAACACTGATAATAACCTGTACATAATGTACAATTAGGCACAAACAAAAACAATGCACCAATTTAACTCTGCCATATCTCACATTCTTTTCAACAGCCTCAAATTACAGACAAAGATGTGACTGAAGACTTTAAGAGCATTTTCAAGAAGATTGCAGGAGAGGTGAGAGAAAACACAAAATGATGTTGAATGTTTAAAGCTTAGCTGTCAGCTTACACTAACAGGGAGCCTTCAAAATATCTCGGAACATTAGTGTGAATGTAGCTTCTTTGAAAACTGGGTCTATATTTGTTGGTTGTCTCTTTGTACCTTTATAGATGATCTCTTTATGTATTCATTGTAGAAGGACGAAGTCGATGCAAAAGATATCCAGGTGATTCTGAACAAACTTCTAGCAAAGAGTAAGTTAATTCTATAAAAAACATCTAATTATTGTGATAAAAAAACTAGGATGATGTGTTTTTTGTTTTGATAAAATGTGGGATATTTACAATATTTATTCTATCTGCATATATAGTCTACAATTATTATAAAATAAATAATTTCTCATATTTAAAATGTTTATTAATGCTGTGTTAATATCGGATTTCCCACCCCAATCAAAATCTTTCTTTGTGGTTTCAGATTGTTTAACAGGAAATTAGTTTAATATGTGTATGTGATAATGATAATTTTTTTATAATGCAGGAACTGATTTGAAATCACATGGATTTAGTCTTGCGACATGCAGAGAAATGATCA